CTGTTTAAATGAAAACAGAAGAACCGTTTGAGAACCAGGGCTGTGTGCACTATTCAAAGCTGAATTAAGTTTGTTTTTTTTAACAATTCCCGAATTTGAATTGATGTGTCAAACAGGACGCAGAATTGCAATTCGAATTTGAATGCAAGCAAAAAATATTATTGAAATGTGTCACTAACTGACAGACAGACAGACATATAGACAGATGGTTTCAAACTCATGAATTGCAAGGGAGTCAATTCTTCAGACAGACAGATAGAAAGACAGACAGATAGGCAAGGCAAGGCAAGTTTATTTATATAGCACATTTCATACACAATGGTAATTCAAAGTGCTTTACATAGAAGAAATTAAAATAATCAAAACAAATAAGAATAATTAAAACAGTTTAGAATAAAAAATAAAGTACAGTAAAAACAGTCGGACGAACAGTGGCACAGTGCTCATTCAGTAATGCATAGCTAAACAGATGTGTTTTGAGTCTGGATTTGAATGTGACTACTGTAGGAGCACATCTGATCTCTTCTGGAAGCTGGTTCCAGCTGCGGCTGGCATACTAGCTAAAAGCAGACTCTCCATGCTTAGAGCGAACCCTTGGTATTTCTAGCTGATGTGATCCTAATGATCTGAGTGATCTGTTAGGTTTATATTCAGTGAGCATATCTGCAATATATTGAGGTCCTAGCCCATTAAAAGATTTATATACCAGTAATAATACTTTAAAGTCAATCCTAAATGTAACTGGGAGCCAGTGTAGAGACCTGAGGACTGGTGTGATGTGTTCATAATGTCTGGTTCTGCTCAGAATCCTGGCGGCTGCGTTCTGTATGAGCTGCAACTGTCTTATGGTCTTTTTAGGAAGGCCAGTGAGGAGTCCATAGTGCGAAATACGGGGGGGTCCGGGGGGGCTCGACCCCCCCGATTAACCCATTAGACCCCCTGAAAGCCTCAAAAGCAAAATTTAAAGGGGGTCTCAAATTTTGTCAAAAAATAAAAATAAAATATTATCGCGGAACACCAGTTTAGCCTACTTGTCTGTGTGTTTTCAGATCATCCGCGCTTCTTCAGCAATATAGAAAGCGCGCGCGTGGTTGCCAGATACTATTGAAAAGACCAGGTAGAAAACGTGCTCTTGTAACAGAAAAGCTCTGACTGGGGTTTAAATTATTGAAATATGGCATCCGTAAGCATGAACGCTCGTTTCAGTCTCGTCTTTGTTGATAGTCACAGTTATCCTTTAAAGGTGCCATGTGGAATGTCTGCCAAAAAATAAATTCATATTCCACATATTCCATACCAGATGGGGGCAGTATACCTCCAGAAAGTTGGCCTACTCTAGTCTGTTTTTTAGTTTCGATTTGTTAAGCTTCTAAAACCGTCAAATCGTCCGCTTTGTCCCGCCAAAGCCTATTTTGATCGGTGAATGATGTAGAATATAATGACTGCTGCGCTTGACAGGGCGCATAACGAGCAGAGAGAGAGAGAGAGAGAGAGAGAGAGAGAGAGAGCGCCCCGGCCGCGCGCGCGCACTCTCACGTCTTCAAACAACACGAGCGCAGTCCTCCTGCTCTCTCTCTCCCTCGCGCATATTAATCAAATCAATTGACACGATAGTAAGACCGCAGTTCATTTGGAGATTAGAGACTCAATGAACAACATCTCAACACTAAATTATAAAGGCCGGTCGACATCAGGTTCAAGTACGCCCACAAGCCGTGCGAGTTATTCGTGTACTGCAGTTTGGCTGGTGGTTATGTATGTTGCCCGCATACCGCCTCCCATGGCCGAAACTGGTATTACGACACCAGTCGGGCCGGCGCTAGTAATTTAGCATGCTAATTTAGGTTTATATCTCGGCAGCACTATAACTTGTCAATTTTTTAATGACATCATTGCACTTATTTCTTCTCATTCTTTTGATGCGTGTAGCTCATTTTTTGGATAATTTTACCTCAATTTTGACATATGGCACCTTTAATGACACGGGTGTCGTCTCTCATCGTCTTTGTCTTAGGGGGAAAAAGGTAATCAAAGTACATTTTTCGTCATAGTTTTCGTTAACGAAATTTCAGTCTGTTTTCTGTCACGAGCCGCTTGCACTGTTTGTGCGACTAAATCTGCGAACAAAATGCAGACTGATATTATCACACCACGATCTATGGAAGTAAAATAATGCCAAATGTTTTTGAAACAAAAAAGCCTGTTGAATTGCACTACTTGAAAAAAATAGGCATTGCATTTACCATGCTTCCATTTTAATGCATTGTATTTTTAGGGCTTGCATTTGTATAGGCTGAAATTCAGCATGATTGAATATTTAAGCAAAACATTTTCAAACACATTTTCATTATTAAAATTCAATAATCCATATTCACCTTTCATATTTCACTTCCAAAATATTCAAACTGTTTAAAAATACAACCTATAATATTCAACAGGCAATTTTCGGTCCATTTTATTTCGCTTTGCAAATTCCATAGGCAAATTCGCTTCCACAAATTCAGTGGTTCAAATTCGACAGTAAATTCAACGTTGACATCCAGGAACTGCAGGAAAAGCAGTAGATTACCGAGCATAATTTCCATCTGCTGTTAGTCGACCTCACCAGCAGGGGGTGCAAGCGCGTGTTGTTGATGAAGACCAGAGCAACAGTTAGAGCAAGCCATTCATTCATAAAAACTCATTTACAGCAATGTAAGTGTATTTGTGATTATTAGACAGCTGTTTTATGTTAAATTCAGTGTCTTCACGGTTACTTTTCCTTTGTAGTATGCATCTTTCTCTACCGTGAACGAGATTATAATGTTATTCCCCCGATGCGGATGTACAGATCCAATGTTACATTTGAGGTTGACATATTTCTCTTGCTTGTTTAGTTGCCTTGACTTTATATTGCGGAGATGTGCTGCATGCAGTAGCTACTAGGGTTTCCCTCAATGCTTCAGGATTCCCCTGCTGGACCAACGTGTTCTCATCCCAAGGCGTCATATATTGACGCTTTTGCCATTTCGTCCACATCCTACGCACATGGCACCCTTTAGCGTCAATATGACTTATGGGTAGGTTTGGGTATGGGGTAGGATTAGGGTTAGACCGCTAAGAGGCGCCTTCTAGCCCATATCTATCTGCGTCTCATATTGACGCTAAAGGGTGCCATGTGCGTAGGATGTGGACGAAATGGCAAAAGCGTCAATATATGACGCCTTGGAATGAGAACGGGCTGGCTGGACATATAAAATGCGTGCTTGCCAGTCTCCGATAGGCTATAACTGGCATTTATCCAGTTGATTGCTCTAGTAAGTGCGCCAGATTGGTGCCAATTATTGTCATGTCTGCATTATAATGCACAACTTTGCCTCTCCTTGTTATAAAACGACGTGCATCCAAACAACTTTAGCCAATGCAACCTCCTATGTCAGTGTTGCTTTATGAATACTATAGCATATTGCATTGGCGTTTGTTTGAAATGTAACATCTATGCAAAATAATCCTTGAATCATTTCTTATTTAAGGCCATTTCCGTTTCGAATATGTGATTGTGTATTGTCAACAATAAGCATTAACATTCTGCATTTCCATTTTGTAGTGTGGATCATTCATTGCGAAATTTAAACTGATTCTCATGTTTAAAGGCACACTATGCAGGAATTCCGTTTTTGTCAAACAGCGACCCCTAGAGTCGCTGTGGAGTACTTGTATTTAACGTTACTGTCGTAGATACCACTCACGCAGAGCGTCTCTGCACTCACGGCCTGATACTTTGAAGCTGTTATATTAAGGTACAAATCTTGCATAGTGTGCCTTTAATCACTGGATAGGTTTTTGTGTTTGTTTATTGAAAGTGTTTTTTATTTCAGCTGAATTTCAGAGAAGATAAGGCAACATTTTTTTAGCACAATTCACTTCCAGTGGTAATGCAGGGGAAATTCTCAATTGATTTTGATTAATATGCGAGAGCAAGAGCAAGACAGTTTGAAGACGGTGAGAGTGCACGCGCACGGCCGGCGCGCTCTCTCTCTCTCTCTCAGCTCGTTCTTTCAGTAACATGCGCCCTGTCACAAGCGCAGCAATCATCTACATCACTCACCGATCAAATAAGGCTTTGGCTGGACAAAAATTCACTTTGGCTGCCGAGAGAGACAGGGAGAGCAGGGAAAGGAAATGCAGCTGAACAAATATGCTGCGTGTTTTAAATAGCGTAAAAAAGTTTTTTTATAACGAAACACAATATGTGGCGGCCGGTGTTGATTCTGTGGCACACTGCCACGAATTAGTCTATGTGTGGGAAACATTGCCTACCCTGTTCTTATAGCTAGTCGGATCCTGGATAGGGGCGTGTATGTGTGCAGTGCTGTAAATCAATTCGTTACATCACGAGAGCTGATATCACGCGATACTTCCTGACGGCCCGCCGGCCCAAAGTTGCAAGTGTGGTTTTTCCGCTCACAGGCACCAGGGTGGGCGAGACGGCCACCATTCAACCCGAAAAACGTCATATAACCATTCCAATAACTCCGAAGCATAATGCATAGTTCCCCTTTAAGAATCTGTTATCTGATAAAATACTTGATGCTACTGCCCACTAACATGCTTTTAAAGCTACTGTTGTCCATTTTTGGCCTTCAAAAACACCTTAAAATGCACATGTCGAGATCAGGAAAATCTAAATTTTGGGACCCCCCCGAATATTGACGGGTATTTCGCACACTGGAGGAGTCCATTACAGTAATCCACCCTGCTGGTGATGAAAGCATGCACAAGTTTCTCTAAGTCTTGATTGGAAACAAAGCATCTAATTCTTGCAATATTTTTCAGATGACAGTATGCTGATTTAGTTATTGCTTTGACATGACTACTGAAACTAAGATCTGACTCTAGAGACACACCAAGATTCCTGACTTGATTTTTAGTTGTTAGACCCCTAGCGTCAAGGTATGCATTCACCTTGAGAACTTCATCTTTGTTTCCAAACGCAATGACTTCAGTTTTGTCTTTGTTTA